GTCTTGTGGTTTGATTTATATATTTAGTTCCAGAAATATTTGTATTTTTTTCTTGATCTTCCTTCCATTCACCATTCAGTAATGATTTGTTTGATCTCCATGACTTCATATACTCACTAGAGTTTTATTTGCTGTTGATTTTAAATTTTATTGCACAATGGTTTGATGAGCTACATGAGAGTATTTTTATTGTTCAATATGTATTAAGGGTTTTGTTTTCTAGCATGTTTATTTTAGAGTTTCTTTCATGTACTCATTCCTAAGTGGAATCTATATTCTTTGGCCTTCGGATGGAATGTTCTGTAGGTCCTTTTGGTGTGATATCCAATTTAATCTAATGACTTTTCTCTGTTTTTTTAACCTATCTATTAGAGAAACTGGGCTGTTGATATTGTCTGCTATTATTGGGTTTATGTTCAGTTGTGACTTTAATTTTATTAGTGCTTTTTATGAAATTGGAAGCACCAGCATTCAGTGCCTATATACTTAGTATTGTGATATTTTCCTAATTAATTGATTCCCTTGATTAGACTGAATGCCCTTCTTTGTAGCTTCTGATTATTTTTAATTTCAAATATATTTTGTCAGATATTAGAATGGCCATACCTGCTTGCTTGCTGATCACACTTGTTTGAAATACTTTTTTTTTCATCATTTCACTTGAAGATGCTGTTATAAAGTAGACGTTCTTTCAGACAAGATGGATTTTTGTTTCTTAATTCATTTAGGTAGCTGTGTCTTTCGATTAGAGAGTTGAGACAACTGATATTTCAAATTCTTATTAAAAGGTCTTTGTAGTTCATTAAATTATAACTTATTTTCTTCCTTTCTAGAGGCACTTAGATGATATTATACTTCTCTCAGTTTGAAGTATATTTTTCCAGGATTCTGTTTAGGGTTTTGTTGTTGTTGTACAGGGGAGTTTTAGGACTTTTGTATCATGAAGGGTTTTTCTTTCTCTTTCAACTATAGCAAACAGTTTTGCTGCATACGATACTTTAGGCTAGCCATTGTGATTTGGAGTGCATAGCTCTATGCTCTTCTAGATTTCAATTTTGCATTGAGAAATCACCTCCTATTCTAATGGGTTTCTCTTTATATGTGACTTCTGTTTTCAGTCTTGCAGCAAACGTTTCTCTGTACATTTGGTGTTTTAACTATGATATTGCCATGAGGTTTTATTTTTTTTCTGATCTTGTATCATTGAAGTTTTGTGTGATTCTTATATCAGGCTATGTCTTTAGTTTGGGGAGGTTTTCATCTGTTGTCATGTTAAATATCTGGTCTATACCATTGATCTTGTATTTCCCCCCTTGATCTATGGGCATAATTCAAAGCTTTGTTCTTTTAATGCTGTCCCACATTTCCTGCATGTTATTTTCTTGTGATCTTCAATTCTTTCATATTCTTTGCCTATTTACTCTAGATCCTGTATTCTCTTTGACTCCTGGTAATCTATCTTTTGCTTGATTCATTTTCCTTAGAAGGCTTTTCCTTTGAGTTTGCAAACTGGTACATTGATAGGTTTTAACTCCATCTTCTATTCGTCTATCTCATTATTGAGTTAAGTTTCAAGTCAATTATCTGTATCATTCCATTCAGCTTCGTGTTTGTATTTTTTGGGGCAGTTACTCCAGTATTTGTTGTTATCCTCTTGGAGTTCAATGAAGTGTTTGTTTCTTCAATTTGTGGATACAGTTTATAATTATTATTTTAAATTCTATGTCCTGGGGCTTATCTGGGTAAGTCTTTCTACGGAATACTTCTACTAGTAGCATGGAAAACATGTTGTCTTGGTCATTTATGTTGGTTTTGCAATTTGACCTGGACTGTGGAGTTCTTTCTCCCACCCTACTCTGATATGATAATCTGATCTTCTTTTGATAGGGTCAGTACATGAGATATATGGCCTGAGCTAGGCCATATAGAGCTGGTAGATATGCTATTTAATCAGACCAAGGAAAGATGGCTCACAAACCATGGTTATGGAGCTAGGTTGAAGATGTGGCAGAGAGAAGAGAGAAGGAAGGAAGAAAAAGAGTCTCAAGAGTCAAAGGTGTCTATCTATCAAATAGGTTAGAAGGCCACCTATCCGGAGCTAGGCCTGTGGTTATGGCACTGGCTACAGGCAGGGAGGGGGAACGTGAGGTGGTAAGAAAGGAAAAAAGCAATTTACCGGGGAAAAGGTGGCTCAGGAATGAAGAGGGTTCATAGGAAGCAGTATGAAATTAGGCTCTTAGATTTGCCAAAATGGTGGCAGAGAGATGGAGGAATGGCAAAAAGAAAAGATGGCTTACCCAGGAAAAGTGGCTTTCAATCATGGAGGAATCGTAGACTGAGGGTCTGGAATTGAGGACATCATTTTAAAACCACAAGCAACCCCTTCCTGTGCTTCGTTATTCCATTTGCAGCCAGCACAACCTGCTAGAGGCCATAGCAACACAGGCATGAACAGACAATTATTGAATCTTAATGAAATAAGGCACCATGAGGAACAGTTTGGAAACTCCTTTAAAGAATAAGATAGGACACCTGTATTCACAGAAGTTAGTTTGCTCAGGAGATCAGGATTGTGTGCTTCTGCAACCAAACATTCTACAGTGCCTGTTAACTCGTGAATCCAAGGAAACCATTTACAAAGGACTTCAAAGGTAGATCTAAGAACCAGACATCCAGAGAGTTTCATGAGAGATATAGCTTCAGTTTAAGATTTTACGGAGGCTATGGATACAGAGTGATTTTCAGACAATAAAGCACTTTATAAAACATATACTGGTATTTTTTTTCCACAAGCAATATTGAATTCCAAATTCTAGGACCACTGAATGGAAGGTGAGAATGGAGAATTAAAATGAAACCAAACAAACAAAGGAGGAAAGAAACAAAAGGCTGTGCACACATTGTACTGGGGATTTGTTGGCTTGTCCTGGAGACTGTTTAATGCACAACACTTTCCCAACAGCAGAGTCAGAATAGAGATTTTTTCCCATGACTAGAATTTACCTGCATTATTGAAAACAGCTGCTTGGATCCTCTTGGGTAACTTTCCAATTTATTACCTTCAAGTATGGATTGTTTTCATTTAAAAAATTCCAAACCACACAACATTATATATAATAATACAATCCTGCCGACTCTGATAATATCTGTTAGCTATTCAAACGCAAAGGCGTTCCATTTAATGGAACCGGGTTCATTTATTCTGTAAATGTTTAGCACAGTCTTGGAGCATTTATAGCAGCAAAACCAGAACCACTGAAATCGATAAATGAAGGGTAGGATGTCAGTCATAATTTACATTCCCAGCTGATAGCCACAGAAATGAAGCCCTTCGGAATTATTAAAATGCATTTTGTGCAGAGTATTTATTACTTGGCATTTCTTATTTATGATTCATTGAAAGATGAGGCTACGGGAAATAAAAGACAAGCTAAACTTTTCCAGAATAATGAGGTCCCATTTGCTCTAAGCCAAACCCACTTTTATGAGAGCTTAACTGTTGTGTTGGTTTCGTTCTCAAAAGCAATGATTTTCTCTTTATCTGTATGAGAACCCTTTCTTAAGCACACTCATTTAGCACAAAGAAAATGCCATTCGTAGACCTTGGTTCTAAACTGTATTATTTTAAATGCCTGATGGATAACATTTCACGTGACATGAAACCACAAAGAGCAAATTATTGCAAGCTTTCTGATAGAGTTATTAATGACCGCACTAGGACCGGCTGACTGGTGGGTCTGACCGAAGAACTAAGGACTGCCTTCCCCGTGGTTAGAATTATGTCCCAGAGAAAAGCAGCAGGGCCTGAAACCACGTTTTAAAATCAGCCCATCTCCTACTCACACAGGGGAGCAAAATCTCAATTACCTAGCTCCATCTTTCTGCTCTTCTGAAGATTTTTTTTCATATTTTTTTATCATCTAAACAATTTTTTAAAATTTAAACATATTTTGATCAAATTCTTTCCCTCCCCCAGGTCCTTCCAGTTCCTGTCTCGCCTCCCTACTCACCCAGCTTTAAGTTCTTTCTCAGAAAAAGAAACAAAAATCCAACACAACAACAAAACACTCTAAAACAAAGAAAACAAAATAAAATCACCACTCCCAGAAAACAACTATAACAAACTGTAACCGAATAAAAGCTCACATGTGCAGGCACAAACACACACATGCACACACATACACAAACACAGAAACAACAACAACAAAGGAAAGAAACAAACAAACAAAAACTGTGAAGTCCATTATATGTTGGTCACCTAATTCTGAAGCTGAGGCCTGTCCTGGTGGTATATCCAGTGCTACTCTATTGGGGAAAACAGATTTTTCCCTCATATATATATATTATATATATAATATATATATATTATAAATATATATATATAATAAAAAGATAAAACAAAAACTATCACTTCAGAGTTGGACAAGGCAAACCAACAGAAGGAAACGAGCCTAAGAATAGGCACAAGAATCAGAGAGTGATTGTTCACTCACTCGGGACTCCCATAAAAACCCTGAACTGGAAACTGATATGTATGCAGAGGACCAGCTGCAGATCAGTGCAGGCCCTACGCTGCCTCAGTCTATGTGAGTTCGTATAAGCTTTGTTCATGTTGACTTACAGGGCCTTACTTTCTTGGTGTCCTTTTTGGCTCTAACACCTTTTGCCTCCCCTTCTGAGGGGTTCCTTGAGTTCTAAGAAGAGGTTTTTTTTTAAATTTTTTATTGGTTATTTTATTTATTACATTTCAAATGTTATCCCCCATCCCAGTTTCCCCTCCACAAATCCCTTATCCCCCATCCCCTACCCTCTGCCTCTATAAGGGTGCTCCCCTTACCAGCCCACCCACTCCTGCATCAGCACCCAAGCATTTCCCTACCCTGGGTCATCGAGCCTCTGCTGGACCAAGGGGCTCCCCGAGAGGAAGGTTTTAATGGAACAATTCCATTTGGAGCTGAATGCTCCAAGTTTTCTCACTCTCAATATAATGTCTGGCTGTGGGTCTCTATATTTGTTTTCAGCTGCTTCTGGATGAACCTTCGTTAATGGTAGCTGAACAAGGCATTGATCTACAAGTATAACAGAGAATCATTTTGTTACTACATATTTTCTTTCCTTTCTTTTTAGATCAGTGTTATTTGGTAAGTTCCTGGGGTAGCTAGTTTCAGGTTCTTAGTCACTCAAGCACTGTTGGGTATGGGTTACATTCATGGAGAGGGCCCTAAGTCAATTCAATTATTGGTTGATTATTCTCACAAGCTTTGTGCTGCTGTTAACTTAGCATATCTTGCAGACAGGATACCAATATAGATAGATAAGCAGTTTGCAAGAAGCTTGGTGGTTATATTACTCTTTTGATATCATGCAGAATACCTTCCTGACAATGGAATGTGGGGTGAAGGCTCTATGTAGGTACTAGCTTGACATATCCATGTTCATCATAAGTGTTGTCTTCAGCAATGGGCCATGGTGTCAGTCTGTGGAGATAATCCCGTAGTCTTGGCCTGGGTTGTTTGGAGGTTCCCATTGAACCACTTTGACCAACAACTCAATTATATGTAACACAGGTCTAGGACTGGAAACTTTGTTGGGTGACAAGTGGTGGCCAGTTGGGATTCTGTCTCCCCATTACTCTGAAGATTCATTTCAAAAATAGAAACATCTCTGATGTCCCTAAAACAAGAATGGATTTTTTTAAAAAATGTTCAGACTATTATTTAGCCATTAAAAATGACAACATGAAAGTTTGAGGCAAATAGGTGGAACTATTAATAAAACCATCCTGAGTGAGGTATCCCAGACTCAGAATGACAAATACGATATACATTTTCTTATATGTGAATATTAGCTGTTAAGTCAATGACAACCAAGATACTACCCATAGACCCAGAGAGGGTGGGCATAGCATAAGGGATAAGAGAGAACAGAAAGAACTGGTTAAGAAAGGGAAATAAAATATATACATATAGACTGAAGGAGGGGCTGGAATGGGGGATCAAATGGGGCTGCGGAGGGAAGAGGGAGTTGTGGGAAGAAATACAGGAAGGGACAGCTAAAATTAAGGCCATTTGAGGGATAGTGTGGAAACCTAATACAGTAGAAACTTTCTAAAATATATACATATAAAAAGCAATTGAAATGAATTCTTGTAATTTTTTTTCTTCCTTAAAGTAAAAAGATCCAGATCCCAAGCCTCCTTTAGAGCACACTACATACTGGTGGCATGGTTTCTTGGGAGAAACCAAAATCTCAATTCTGGATGTGTAACCCCATATGAATCATTTTCTTCCCTGGATTGTTCCCTTGGCCAGAAGAATAAGCAAATAATTTTATTCAGATAATGTAGCTATTCATCTTATTGATAAGACCTCAGAGTGTGAGAAACTCCCACCCTCTCTCTCATGGTCCATGTGTCTAAGGAGCCATAGTCACATCCACGTGGCTCGAGCAAGTGAGGCACCTCCCTGCTGAGGTTCACATCCTGTTCCACCAATAGCAGTCTTCACCATGAACACACATTTTAACTGTACCTCAAACTTCTCATCTGATAAACAGATAGAAGTGTAATATATACATCAAATGACTGACATAATAATGATTATAATTTGCATGGAGACATAAACATATGAATAATTAATACCACTGGTTTTTATAGCTCCATTTTCCATTCCTGTATTAGCCATGCTGCGCCAGGTAGAAATCTAGTTATTTCACCTAATGATTCTACTACAAATGCCACTTTTTCTAATGGCTACCAGCTTTCAACCTGATTCGCCTCCAGAAATGCTCCATTGTTTCTTCCTTTCTCTCAGAAATCTGAGTTTGCTGAGAGATCCTTGGCACATCCCCAGGTAGCTGTGTTGCCTGCTTAGAGAGCACTAGATGGAATCCATAACTAATGTAGAAAAGACAACTATACAATGAAATGTTGGCTCAAGACCGGGATGCACACAGGTCCAATCATCTGTGTTGCTTAAGCCTTACTTTTGGGGCAGATGAGAATCACCATGGACACTTGACAGCAAGAATCTTGAGCAAGTTAAATGCACATTGCCTCAGTTTCTCCATCTTCAAACTGTAGCTGCCAATCATCTAATGTTGACAGGGCTATAAAAGAGATTAATCTGTGTAAGTACTTAGCATACAGAAATTATCTCTGGAACCCAATATATAGTGTTGGTTCTAGTTAATGATTATGTTTATCATAAAATGCTAACATGCATAAATTTAGAAATCCAGGCTAGGATTAATTCCCAGAAACTATACCTTCAAACTATAATCTTAAATTATTTTTTAAAAAGATAACTGATATTTACTGGAGATGATAGCCAAATGCTTCATCTAATTTCTATTTATAACCATTCTATAATGTAGGCATTATTTTTGTTCCTGTTTATAGATTAAGCAACCAAGATCAGAATAAGTTATAATTAACAAAAAGTTCACAAACTGGCAAGATGGCTCAGTAGACAAAGACACTTACCGCCAAGCCCGTTGACTTGATTTCTGTCCCCAGGATCCAAATGGTAAAAGGAGAGAACTGACTCCTGACTCCTGTAACTTCTCTCTCTCTCTCTCTCTCTCTCTCTCTCTCTCTCTCTCTCTCTCTCACACACACACACACACTCACAAACATACAGATACACACACTAAATGTGATTTTAAAACTTACAACTTTCCTGGAGACCCACTCAGCAACATGGCCTTTTCATGTTACACACTAGAGTGCTGCAAGAGTAGGAAAACTAGCCTAGATGATCAAGAAGGGTAGCTATTTTAATTAAGCTGCAAGCTACAGTTCACTTCAGGAGAAGCCAGAGCATCTCTTGAAAGCAATGAACTTGAGAAGCATGGGAAATAAAAAAGTTTAAATGTACCACAGGAGTCGAAGAAGAAACATTCATACCTAATTCTGGTGTTTATAAAACTTAACTGGGCAAGTCTAAAGTGGTACAGACTCCATGTGCTGGTTCAAAGATCTTAACAACAGTTAAGCACACATCACTAAAACTTAAGTGCAACCAAGGGCCCTGTAAATACCATCCAAAATGTCCTTCTTACATCGGGTTGTTTGCTGACACCACTCTGAAAGAAATGGAATGCAGACTCTAATTTTCTCTGTGAAACAGGTCTTCCTAGGACATACCCTGAGGTACACATTTGTCTTGCCCTGTTTTCAACACAGCTCAAAGGCTTTAGTTGTCCTAAGACAGAGGGCAGCAGGTTTAGGAGATAGCATGAGAGTGGGAAGAAAGTGCTGAAGGATTCAGAGGAAAGCATGCTCTCATTGAGGTATGCTCTGCCCTCAAAGTTCTGGTCAAAGGGCTGGTAAATGGAATTGCTCTCACCCTCCTTCACAATAAGAATGCACTATGGCAGGAGGGAATGGACATGAGGAACATGTTTGTTTTACTTCAAGGATGTGGTTAAGGTATAAGTGAGACTTCAGAAACATCACAAAAGTTGAGAAATGGAAAGAAAAGAAATAGTAACTGGAAACCCAGAAAAAGAGAGGGGAGAAGAGGGAAAAGGAGGGGAGGGGAAAGGAAGGGAGGAGTAGGGCAGGAAGGGAGAAAAGCAAGACAGATGAGAAAGCTGAGTTTTATGAGAAGATTTTAAACCCTGCCTAGAACTTCCATCTTCCCATTCCCTGTAAAAGCTGCAGTAATATTTTCACAGCTTGCTACTATCATAATGTTATGAAAAAAGTAGAGGCATAATATGACATCTATCTCCCACTTCCGTTAAGTTCAGAGGCTGCCCAGTAGGGTTCCTGAGAATTTCCTGGCTGTATATTTTCATAAAAGAAAGTAGAAGAGTAACTTCCAGGATATTCCTAGAACAATGAAGGAACCTGAAAAAATTAGCAGAATCTTGTGTTAGATACCTTTTTCTAGGTTAGGGGCATTAAGAAATCAAGCTTTGGTTGGGATGTAAAGTAGATTTAAAAAAGTAATATAAACAATAAATTAAAAGTAAAACGAAATCAAGTTATGATACCAAATCTAGCAATATAGATTTAATTTGATTTTTTCTGCTGTTATACCCCAATAAACCCATCACAATCTCAAAGCATCAAAAGCTGAAGGTGCAGGTAACATGACTATCCTAGCAAACACTATTGCTTAGCAACACAATACACAGGAGCATCAGCTGTTTACTCTCATGACACATGTCTGATGAGAGCTGTAGTTCACCGCTCAGCACTGTAAGAGTATCATTCCAAAATTCAAGATTTAATGCAAAGTTTTTTAATGAATGCATATCACTTTAGCATCATAGTAAAGTTAAAAAAATCTTATAGACAATAGAAATAGTCAAGTATAACTGGTATCCACCGGTATTTCCAAACTAGTATACATTAGTTAGTTTTTTTATCACTATGACAAAATAGCTGGCAATAGCATACAAGGAAGAGAAATTTGTTGGGGCTCAAATTCAGTGCATTAGGTAGAACAGAGCCATGACCTGCTGTACAATGATGGCATCACCACTGTAGAGTCTAAGCTCTCCTCCACCAATCACAAATCAAGAAAATGTCCCATGGCCACATCTACAGCCCAATCTAATGGAAGCAATACCTCAAAAGAGAATCGTACTCCCCAGATGAGCCCAGTTTGTGTCAAGTTTTCAGAAACTGTCCACAGGAAAGCAAGCCTTAAGTTTGCAAACACTAAATTTGACATTTGTTTTAGTGCATTTTCTATCTAGGACAAAAATTCTGATTTTTCTTCAAGTAATTCCATAAGGAAAGTTCTAGATGACTGGTGAGATATATAAAAAGATACCATATACTTTATATACTTTATCATTTTAATCTTTTATTTTTTACATCTGTGTGTGTGCGTGTGTGTGTGTGTGTGTGCACATGTGTGCACACGCGTGTGCCACTTGAGGAATGTAGGCTTCAGAGGACAATTTGTAGAAATCAGTTTTCCCTTTCCACAAAATGGGTTCCAGGTATCAAACTCGTGTCATCAGCCACTCTGGCCAAGCTATCTTTCAGTTCTCTGACTATCAGACTACTGATCCCTTGTCCATCTCTTTCTGATAATCTAGCATGAAATGAGACAGCCATTCCTCAAGCAGACTTCCCCTGACATACATTCCACATGAGTTTCCATTCCACTTTCTCCTAGAAAGAAGTCTTTTCCCACCTCAGCTTCCCCATCAGTCATTATTAGAGTCGCTAACGTGTTTCTATAAAGTCAGACTTCTCACTCAAGGATTAGTTCCAGATAGTAAGCAAACCACCACAGCCCGCCCACGTCTAGCATGCAGAAGACATGCAGTCTGACTTTGCTGAGTAAATATGTAGCAACTGAAGAAAAAGCAAAATGGGATAAATGATCACCATTATTTTTTTTAAAAAGCATCATGTGAGAAATTTATTATAAAGTATTTTTTAACATCATGGATTTTTTTCCAATTCTAATAAAATGCTGGGCAACAAATCATCATTATTCACAATTTACAAAACAAGAGACTGCTGAAAAATTAAATTTTCTAATGTGTGTAAACAACAGAAATGTTGATGTCATTCCCCAAACTATAGTTTCAACTCCAAAGTCAAGTCCATCCATTGTCCTCCTCAAAAGCCTGATATAAATAAGCAATTCTAAAAATTAAAACAATGACATATACGCATGCAGATGTGCACATGTGTGTGCGCACACACACACACACACACACACAGTGGCACATATTTTTAATCCCAGAATTTAAGATGTAGAAGTGGAGACGGAGATCAGAAGTTAAAGGTGTCATCCTCCACTACACAATGAATTTGATGCCATCCCAGAAAGCCAAACTGAAGTCAGTTATGTAACAGAAGAAGTTGAGAGGATACAAGCATGCTTCCTATCTGCCTGCTTGCCTTTTCGCTTCTATGGGCAACCACAGATGTTGTTGCCGGTGATGGTTATTCATAGTCTTTGTAAAAGTCTCCTCTTGAGGAACTCACACTGAGCCAACACAGGTTTTAATGGTCTGTGTTTGAATAAAAGCAGAAACTAGACTAAATCAAATCTAGTCTTTTCAGTATCAACAGGATTTTACTTTGAATTTTACTTTAAGTTTCAGAATAAGCTGTTTTTCACAAGTGGAAAATGGAAAACCCCAAGTGGCAACACAAAAGTTTCCAGTGGAAAATTTCTATCATTTAGTTTCTAACAGAAGTACTTGCAAGTCTCCAGGCATCATGTTACTCTGGTATGAGACAATTTATCCTAGGACTGATTCCCCAACACCTAAGAATTTACAGTCTTCATTAGAAATATCTTTCACAAGCTGTACATACTGAATATACCATTACACACACACACACACACACACACACACTCAGAAGGGATGGTGGAGTTTGATAAAAATGGTCTAAAACTCTAGATGCTGCAAAAACAAATTCCCCTGGAGATGAGACATAACTCAAAACACTTCAGTTCATGAAAGAATACTCTTACTATCCTCAGTGTTCCAGAGACAAACCCTCATTCTTTACAGATAGATGTGTTTACAGAAACGGTATTTCCCAAATGTCAATGGGCCAGAGTTCACAAAGAAACTTAATTAGTTCAGCTATACTTCAATCATTTCCAGCTCATTTTCAGAATAAAGAAGTAGGCACCCTTCTGAGGTCATTGAACAGGGACTGATTTTTTTCTTAAGTTTTATTTATTTATTTTTGACTCAGTGACAATCATGAACATCAGCAAAGTTTGGAGTCACTGAATTTTCAATATTTAAGATTTGTTTTCATCTCTTGGTGGTTCCAGTTGCACACAGGGAGGGATCAAAGACTCTTGAATTATCTTTCTTCTCAAAGGATTATTATAAATTTAGATTCTTATTTGGTCCCGGGAGAAGATTCCACAGCAATCTCCATAGATTCCAATTTTACCCCAGCATACTGTGAATTCAAGAGAAGCTTAAAGTCAACATTATAGATGCCTTTCCCTGTATTCTAAGCTTCTTTGCCCCAAAGACCATGGATGTTAGTACTCTGTCTAAACTCCACCTTCACAGTTATCTGGCAACAGCCAGGTATGCTCTTCCCCCCAGTTACCTGGCAACAGCCAGGTAGGCCTGCCCACTATAAAAAGGAGCCGCTT